CTTCTTATTCTGTTTACCTTGTTTGTGGTCAAAACCCAGTGCTTTTTTGTAGCAGGAACTCATAAGAACATAAGAGACGCAAGTGTTGGATCAGGCCAAAGGCCCATCCAGTCCAACACTCTGTCACACAGTGGCCATCAGGAGGTCCACCAGTGGGGCCAGGACGCTAGAAGCCCTCCCATCAGGAGGTCCACCAGTGGGGCCAGGACGCTAGAAGCCCTCCCACTGTTGCACCCCCCTTCAAGCACCAAGAAGGCAGAGCATCACTTGCCCCAGACCGAGAGTCCCTATCTATACCTTGTGGCTAATAGCCACGGATGGACCTCTGCTCCATATGCCTATCTAATTCCCTTTTGAAGCCGTCCATGCTTGTAGCCGCCACCACTTCCTGTGGCAGTGAATTCCAAGTGTTAATCACTCTTTGGGTGAAGAAGTACTTCCTTTTATCCGTTCTAACCCGACTGCTCAGCAATTTCATGGAGTGCCCACGAGTTCTTGTATTGTGAGAAAGGGAGAAACTCCTTTGCATGTTAGGCCACACACCCCTAATGTAGCCAATCCGAATGAGTTTCTGCTGTTGGGAGTGGCGTATTATGCTAATGAGTTCCTCCTGGGCGTGGCCAAGTTGGATGCCAGCCAGAACTCCGTTCCTGTGCGTTCCTGCCCGAAAATAGCCCTGGGAACATGTGACGGAAGGAACTTCCCCCCTTTTCTTCCCTCACAGAACTGCTGTACCATAAGCAGTCTGTCTACATCAGGGGTCCCCAGGGCTTTCTTTCTGGGGGGAAACGCCAGAACGGCATTCTGGAACATCTTTGACAAAATTATTACTAAAAGGTTTCAAAGTTCATGAGTTTCCAGGATACAGATTGAAAACTTCATTTCCCCCTTGAGCGTTCCGGCACCTTCCCCACCCCCCAAGCCCGGAAGGGGGGGTGTCCCCAACTTTTTCACATCTGCGGGCACCTTTGGAACTCTGACAGAGGGTGGCGGGCACAATCACAAAATGGCTGCCCCGGGAGGCGGAGCCAACCACAAAACGTCAGGGAGCAAAGTCACGCATAACTTTAATAGCACCTCTTCAACATTTCAAGACAGAAGCTCTGTTCGACGCAGGGGTCCCCAACGGGGTGCCCTTAGCGCCCGCTGACACCTTTTTTTTGTGCCCACCCAGTGTTTTTAAAAAGTGGGTCAAGCTAGGCAGGGCTCTTCTCCAGCAGAAGCACCTTCAGAGCTTCTGAAGACCTGATTGGCTACGCAGATCAAAACAACCTTGCCTCAGCTGCAGCTGCCACCATTTTATTCCCTCGCGTCCCTCTTCTTTGGTGTGTTTAATCGCCTCTCTTCTCTGCTGAACTTGGGCCTCTTCTGTGTATGTGGGCCCGCCTCCCGAGGCAGCCATTTTGCGGTTTCACCCACCACCTTCCGTCAGAATTCAAAAAGACTGGGGGGATCACTGGTTTAACAGAATGCCTCTCAATCTGCACAGCCAATCAGAAGCCCTGCTGGGCAAACGCCTGGCCTGATCCAACATGGCTTCTCTTAAGTTCTTATGTCTGGGGCAGTGATGCTGTGTCTTCTTGGTGCTTGGGGGGCAACAGTGGGAGGGCTTCTCGAGTTCTGGCCCCACTGCTGGACCTCCTGATGGCCCCTGGGTTTTGGCCACCGTGTGACACAGAGTGTTGGACTGGATGGGCCGTTGGCCTGATCCAACACTGGCTTCTCTTATGTTCTTAGGTCTGGGGCAGTGATGCTCTGTATTCTTGGTGCTGGGGGGGCAATAGTGTCCTGGCCCCACTGCTGGACCTCCTGATGGCACCTGGTATTTTTGGCCACTGTGTTGGACTGGATGGGCCATCGGCCTGATCCAACATTGGCTTCTCTTATGTTCTTATGTTTCTTGCAGCTGTCAAGCAGGTTTATGAAACTATCAGTGCAATCCAAAAGACACTTTCCTGGGAGTAAGAAGTAACATGGAGGTTACTTCTGAGGGGACTTGCTTTGGATTGCTCTCTTTATTAAACTTGGTCACAAAAATAGGATGAACTTATAGCCAATGCTCCCTCTAAGCTGTGAAGTCTTGTGAGCAAATATTCTACTTTGTGAGCTCCTGGCATTAAAGTTGTGAGCGAGCAATTTGGCTGCTGCATAAATTAGTTTGCTCTGGAGCCATCCAGTGTTCCCTCTAAGCTGAGTCAGTGTGAGGTACCTCTGTTTCTTAGTCTCCGGCTCACGCATTTTTGTCTCCGCTCAGGAAGGATGGCTCCGGCGCAAACTAACTCGTGCAGCAGCCAAATCGCTCACTTGCAACTTTAATGCCAGCGGCTCACCAAGTAGAATCTTTGCTCACGAGACTCCACAGCTTAGGGAGGGAGCACTGGCCCCACCCAATGTCTCAAGCCCCAGGAAAAGGCATCAGCCGGCACTGTGGTGCCCGGACCCCAGTCTGCGCCAACACTTCGCCACCCGAGTCAGGCCCTTTCGGTAATCCCAGCGTCATTCGGACAGAGGGAGCTGTGGTTTTGTGGGATTCCCCGTGGAAGGATACGGACGCCGTTGATGCCCGAGATCTTGAAGTCGTCGATTAGCTGGACGATGTTCTCACGCTTCGGGTCGCTGGGATCCGAATCCCGCACCTGGAGGAGGGGGAAAGGGATATCGAAAGAGATCAGGAAATCAAATATCCCAGGCCCAGGGGTCAATGGCTGCGTGCCCCCAGACCAAAACCCCTTTTCCCAGTTGCCGATCTTCAGGCACAAGCGGTCAGGAGGAGCGGTACCTGTGGATTGGCGGGTAAGAGAACAGGGTTGGGAGGCCGCTTCGGGGACGAGATTCTGGCATTTCTGACCAGAGTCCCAATCCAGGGCCCGTCAGCTGAAGTCAAATTCTATCTACCGCTGTCACCCTGGCCTGGATAGCCCAAGCCAGCCCGATCTCATCAGATCTGGGAAGCTACGCAGGCCTGACCTTGGGTAAGTATTGGGACGGGAGACCGCCAAAGAACACCAGGGTCAGGAGCAATGTTCCCTCTAAACTGCAGAGTCCTGTGAGCAAAAATTCAACTTTGTGAGCTACTGGCATTAAAGTTCTGAGTGAGCAATTTGGCTACTGCATTAAATCAGTGTGCTCTGGAGCCATCCTTCCTCAGCTGAGAAAAAAAAATCTGTGAGCCAGAGGCTAAAAAACTGTGAGCTAGCTCACACTAACTCAGCTTAGAGGGAACACTGGTCGAGAGGCAGAGGCAGGCTATCAAACTACTTCTCTGAACGTCCTCCATGCCCCAGAGGTCGCCATGACTTCCGGGCACGGGCACGCGCAAAAATGCAAAAATACAAAAAATAAAATAAAAAACCCAACACCACCCTGGCATAAAATTGCGCTGGCCGACCTCAGCACAGCGAAAGCCAATCGGTGCATTCAGTAAACGGTACCTCCTTTCGTGATTCCATTACAGGTGAAGGGTTATGCTTTTCAGAGCTCCCAGAAGCGCTTCCCTGCTTCTATTTTATTTATTTAGTTAGTTATTTAGTTTATATTCCACCCTCCCTGCCTGAGCAGGCTCAGGGCGGCTTACATAGAATACATAAAACAGTTAAAATCAAAAGGATATGGTTATCAAACGCAGCATAATATCTTATAAAGGGCTGGCACAGGGCGTACATGATGGCGGGCACCGGCAGCATCTGCAGGCATACGGTCAGTTGACATTGTAGTCTGGGTTGTATTGGCTGCTAATAATGTTGGTAATATTGGGCCAGGGCCTCACTTTATTGGGTGCGGCTCCCTAGTCGAAGGAAGAGCTCATTCCACACAATTGGTGGAAGAGCTCTGTCTCGCAGG